CCTTTGTCTGGCAGCTCTGCATATGCGCACATTGGGAACAGGCTCCAGCTGTTCCTCTGCCTCACTGCTGTCTAGCTCTGTAGCCACCTGATCACTGCCAGACGGCCCTGGCCCTCTCCTTGTCTCCAATGCAGAGCCCTCATCAGAGCCTTCCCCAGACTCCAGGACTGGCCCATCTTCCTCCCCAACCTCCTCACTCTCCAACTATAGTGCCAGCTCTGCTGGCTGGTCAAAACAGGAGCCTGAGTCTCTTTAGGTAGTCCTCAACTTACGACTGTGACTGAACCTGCAATTTCATTTGCTGAGTCACCAGAGTTGTTGCGAGAGTTGCTAACACCACCTTACCGAATTCGATTTGGTGACCTTTGGGACAACAGTTTGTTAAACGAATGCTGCCGTTTTGTTAAGTGAATCAATTGTTGTCTATGGGCCATGAGGTGGTTTTTTTTGGGGGGAGGGATTTTTTTGGGTGGAAAACGGAAGGAGATGCAGGTTTCTGGGGGAAAAAAAACACCTTGTAAAACTTCACGGGATTGCAGGACGGTTGTAAGTGTGGACAGCAGATGTGGTATTCAGCTGGTTCGGCTGAAGCGGTAGTGGAAATTGCAGGTGGGCCTTCCCCGGCTCTATGCCGTCCTATTTAGGCATGTTTTTGAGGCCAGGCGCATATGCAGAAGGCACGTGTGCGACCAAAGCGCATGCGTGGAAGGTCGGTGCATGTGCAGAAATGGTGCGTGCACCTGTGAAGAAGTGGTAACAAAATGTGAAGCCTACCGCTGTTGGACAGGTGTGTTGGGTGTCCAATATCTGGCCTTCAACTTTGAAGTCACTAAGCAACCAGTCATAAGTCAAGGACTACCTTTACTTGGTCAACTGACCTCGCCTGGGGAGCCCAAAGAAACACACAGCTGTGAGGTCCTCAGATAACCTCCCTTTGTTGTTTTAAGCCTGGAGGACTTCAATTCTGGGAGTTGAAGTCCGCCAGGCTTAAAGTTGCCAAGGCTGGAGACCCCTGCTTTAAACTAACTTTAATAGGGTCCAGCATCCTGGCCTCTTTTCCACTCCTACATTTTAAAGATTTTAATTCAATTCTCATGGAGGAAGCCAGNGTTTTCAATTTCAATTATACAGCATGTGAAGGATGTGTGCTTGTGTTTTTATTTTTATAGTTATAATGTGCACTGAAGATGGCATTTAATTTTGCCGTACGGTGTGCAATGACAATAAAGTAAACTAAACTAAACTGAAAGGAGTAGGATTTGAGGAGTGGATTACTCTGAGCAATTAGAAGAATTAATGGGAGCGAATGCTGGTCGCTCAGGGTTGAACTGTGGGGTCCTCGGTGCTCTCAGAGCTTGGTGGTTTTTTTTGCAGATGTTTCATGACCCTACTAGATAACATCATCAGTGCTAGAAGGGAGTGCGTTTTGCAGAGATGGGGGGAGGGGGGAGGAGAAGGACTATAGGATTGTTGGCACTACCTGAACTTGATTGTTTTCTTGCAGACATTTCAAGACCATATTAGATAACAACATCAGTGCTAAAAGGGAGCGGGGTTTGCTCTCTGTTTATATACAACCGTTTGCCCTGTCAGTGTTGGAGGGAGAACTCTTGAGTAGACTATTGTTTAATGTTAGCTTGCTTGTCTAGTTGGCAGTTTCTCGACTGGGCTGCCCAGGGAAAAGCCACTTATATATAAAGAACAGCCAAACACTGACAGGTTTCTAGACTAAGATAAACAAACGTAACTTAAATTTATTTGGGGCAGGGAAAAAAAAAAAGGTTGATAAGAGTAATAAAAAAAAACCACCCTGCAGCCATCGCAAAATAAATAAATAAATAAAAACAAAGCCGTCGGAACGTGTTTGGGAAATAAAAGGCGTTTCAGGCGAGGAGTCCTTAAAATGTCAAAAAGCTGAAGCACAGAAATGTTTTTATCAGCCGTGTCGAGGGAATCAATACTTTGTTTGAAGGCAAGGCGGAATTCGGCAGCACCATTCAAGCGCAAACAATGTCGCTTTCCTTCAAGAAGCATTTTAATCGCTGCAAAATCTGATAAGGCATGTTTTCCTCTCCTTGTCCCCCCCCACAAATAGATCGGTGATGGGCGTTTCTTGAGCACCCTTTGATGTGCCAAGTCTGGGGGGAAAAAAGCCGGGGCAGAGCAGGGAGAAGAGATGGTCATCTGGACAAGGGAGAACGGAGTTGTTCTGACCTAGGCTTCTCCAGCAGCACGAAACTGAGTCCTTGTCCTGATAAACCCCCTTTATTCAACTGACAGGGAATTCCTCTCCAGCAAAGTCCCGGCCCACAGTCTTTCAAGATATTTAAACAATTAACGACCTTTATCAGGCTTGGAGAGTGGCCAGGCTGATATCTTTCAGACACTGCAATTCTTGGCAAGAATGCAGGAAGGAACTAATTGTCTCCTGCAAACTCCACTCCCCTTTGGCCTCTTTTATTTCCTCTGGGAGGGGCCATTCATCGTCCACCTGTGGCCTTCTTCCCAAGTCAACCCCTGTTCTTTAGCTGTTTCCTTTGTCTGGCAGCTCTGCATATGCGCACATTGGGAACAGGCTCCAGCTGTTCCTCTGCCTCACTGNCAGTTTGAATCCAGATGTTGTGAATGCTCAAACACTGGAAGCTTTTAAGAGGTTGGATAACCATTTGTCTGAAGTGCTGTAGAGTTTCCTGCCTAGGCAGGAGGTTGGACTAGAAGACCTCCAAGGTCCCTTCCAACTCTGTTATTCTGTTCTGTTCTATTCTATTCTAAAGAAGAGAAGAACAACAAAGATGATTAGGGAACTGGAGGCTAAAACATACGAAAAGCAGTTGCAGGAACTGGGCATGGCTAGTCTAGTGAAGAGAAGGACTAGGGGTGACGTGATACAGTATTCCAGTATTTGAGGGGCTGCCACAAAGAAGAGGGGGGTCAAGCAATTCTCCAAAGCACCTGAGGGCAGGACAAGAAGCAATGGATGGAAACTATTCAAGGAAAGAAGCAACCTAGAACTAAGGAAAAATTTCCTGACAATGAGAACAATTAATCAGTGGAACAGTTTGAA